CACATGGCTGTAACCGGCTCTGCCAGGCCTAGTCGCAAAGGTCCTCGGACACTTAGACAGGCCCGTTTCTTTGTACTTCTTATGGACGTTTACAACAAATTATTAATATTAGTAGTAGTAGTAGTAGTAGTAGTAATAGTAGTAGTAGTAGTAGTAGTAGTAGTATTGTTGTTTGATCATCCACAAAATTTTCGAGCCCGCTAAAGATTGCGGATAATTCACAAAGGTGTGACACATCAATGAAGCATTGTTGATTGATATGTGGGGTTTAACCTCCCAAACAACCATATGATTATGAGAGACGCCGTAGTGCTGGGCACCAGAAAATTTCGACCACCTGGGGTTCTTTAACGTGCGCCCATTTATTGACTGTAGCCTGAATAAAGGTTTCCTTGTCCAATATGGCACTGTAAAAGCACAATCACCGCAGTCACAACTCCTCCACCACGAAAAGCTCCAGCCATGAAAGGTAAGCCGCAACTAATGTTTTTCTGCAAATGGTTGAACCACTACAGAGCACGCCTCAAGCAGCATTGAACTGCTCTTTTAATTTTCCGTGTTAGTGTCTCGTCAATGAAGCTCTGTCGTTCCCCTGTCACGCAACGCCACATAGGCCAAATTTTCGTTTTAGCGAACGATCGACACCTCAAAGATACGCAAGGTTTTAACATTTGTACAAACATGTGCTGGCAGAGTCACGCTTGACAAATTTCACGACGTTGATCATGACATGCGTACTTGATTTGAGAAAGGCTGATGGAATATGCCACGAACTTCGTCGTGTTTTCTTCTTTTTTGTTTTTTAAATATAAAAAAAACGTATACATACGCTACATTTGGCACTGCTTACTGACACCTGGAAACCAGAAGTAAATAACGAACTGTAACAAATGTTTCTGGATATAATATAGAGTAAGTACCACCCATTCCATATGCATCCAGCAGATATAAAAATGTAAAGAGATCCCCGACCCATCTTTATGACTAAAAAGCAGTAAAATTGCATAACTACGACATGTTTGATTGATATGCCGGGTTTAACGTCCCAAAACCACCGTATGATTATGAGAGACGCCGTAGTGGAGGGCTCCGGAAGTTTCGACCACCTGGGGCTCTTTAGCGTGCACCCTGAGCACACGGGCCTACAACATTTCCGCCTCCATCGGAAATGCAGCCGCCGCAGCCGGGATTCAATCCCGCGACCTGCGGGTCAGCAGCCGAGTACCTTAGCCACTAGACCACCGCGGCGGGGCTAACTGCGACCTGTAAAATATGATAACCACGTTAATACGATGCATGTCTCGCAGCACCCAATAAAGTGGCTCGGAATCATGATATGGCGTTTGTTTGAGAACCGATAAAAATTATAACGTGTTGTGCTATCTGAATACGAAATGAAGGAGGCCTCGCGGCGTGATTGCAGCATGCCAGCAAACACCCGCACGCTTTCAACAGGTAAGAAATTAACTGAAGCGTAGGAATATTTGATAGGATAAATATGGCAAGCATCATTTCCATTACTTTCATTTTATAACGTTTAAAGTGTCATTCTGAGTGTTACCATATAGTCATTCAATCGGCTGATGAGAGACTATGGTGTTACATGAAGGACGGTTAGCATGTCCGTACAACACAAGAAAAGGCCCGTGTTACGGGGAAATACAAACTTGCATTACCTGCCCGAAATTCCTAGCGACGCAGAATGGCAGATGCATTGCGCGGTATAGGTCCTCCCCGCTTTTGTTATGGTGTCGTTATTCCGCAAGTATACCTGACGCCTGTCGGTCGCGTGCTTGTCGTGTCAGCATCTTGCACGTCTATCGTGACACAATGGCGAATTGCCTTTCACCAGACCAGTTCACAATGCGTGGTTTAGGCAAACAGCATGATCTCTCTGGCTGCACAATTGGTCCAGTGGCTAAGGTACTCGGCTGCTGACCCGCAGGCCGCGGGATCGAAACCCGGTGGCGGCGGCGGCTGTATTTCCGACGGAGGCGGAAACGTTGTAGGCCCGTGTGCTCAGATTTGGGTGCACGTTACGGAACTCCGGGAGGTCGAAATATCCGGGGCCCTCCACTACGGCGTCTCTCGTAATCATACGGTGGTTTTGGGACGTTAAACCCCACATATCAATCATCGGGCTGCATAATTGTCGCGAGCCTCTGCAAGACGATACTTATGCATAAAACATAAGTAATCTGACTTTCATACCATAGCCACTCGATGGAAAAAAAAAACCGTTCATCGAGCGGCAATACGTGGGCAGACATTAGAAGTAAAAGTGACCGAGACGGTCACTATCGATACGTAAATACCAATGAGGCGATATAAGATACAAATGCATACAATAATATATAATACGATATGAATACAATGCAAATCGTCTCTACCCACAGACTTTTGTTAGTCATATTGTTTATGGGTTCACTATTTATTTTTACTAAATAATTCTTGCACGCTTATCTATTTCACTTTGAACTGCCTGCTCTTGCTAGTACTTTACGTCTTGTTTTGCGCTAATTTGTACGTCACCACTTCAGTATATTTCTAGGTAATCCTGATGTAATTTTCATGTTTGTGGGTTCATTATTATTTCATCACTGCATTTTCATACCCCCGTAAGGGGACTTTCCCAGTCGCCCCTCAAAAGTGTAATAAAGTTCATTGTCTGTCTGTCTGTCTTTTTATGTATAACACCATTAATTAAGCCTTTATCACGTTTCCTCTAAGACAAAGACTGTTGCGTGAATCTTCAAATATGTTCCTGAAAGGATACGTAGGCATGATGTCATTTTATGCTCTATGTATATCACGTATCCATCGTATATGATCATTTCTTACCTGACGCCTCTTACGAAGCTGGCGAGGTTCACTTAGACAAGTCAACAAAGGACACGTTGACATTTTCCAGTCACTAAACAGTGTGCTCAAGTTCACACTTTGTGCACGCAAAGTTTGCAAAAATGGTAGGAGAGCCACTGTTATACTTGTTTCTTTCAGTCGTTTCCCCTGCGACATTTCCAACATTATTCCGGTGCTCTCTCTGCCATTCCAGTATCGTGTTGATAGTCGTGTCATCGCCAACTTCAAATTGACGGTTTTTCCTGACAGTCGCCGGAGAACACTGCAAACGCACAAACTTATCGACAAGTAAACCTAAATAAACTCATTTCTCAAGACTAAATACGCTGAGGTTCACACAGTCGGTTTTGGTAAGGAGTGATCTGAATCGTGTTTTGTTCGGAGCTGCAATGCCGCGGACGTGCTCACTCTACAAAACTAACAAATGACATATCTTGATTCCATCTGCACGTTACGCAACTAGAATCCAACATTCACAAACAAGTAATTGAGCCATTAATGCTAACAGCCGATTCTTTTAAGGATTCTTTATTTCATAGTACAACGAACTAATGGGATAACCGGTGTAACGAGGCTGCAATCCAACAATCTTTGTTATCGTTTGAAAAGCATTTGGAGCATTTGAAAAGATTTGGAGTATTCTGTAACTTGTTCTGTCTGCTTCGCGATTGTTTTGTTGTTGTTTTTGCCCAAATGTACGTTTTTTTTTCATATTTTGTACCACTCTGCTATAGCCTAAGTTTCACCGCAATATTTATAAATGAATAAATACATAAACAAATAAAGTTGCAATCCTCTTTCCCATTTGCGGGCAACAACGGAGTGGAATACTAAATTACGGCGTGAAGAGCTAACGCCCGCAAGAGCAAAGTGAAATAGATATGGCCACTTTTTCGATATTTTTTTTTTTCGTGATTGGACTTCTGGCACTTCGACGGATAGAGGCTTGTCTTGCTTTCGAAATGAATTATTCATCACGCAGTATCACTCGAAGACTGAGTGAAGAGCAGAAAGCGTACCCTTGCAGACTAGTGATATCGCAGTCATGACCCAACAACGACGACGATAACGCAATCGCATTTTTATTTACTTTTTTACGGAACCCGTTTTAGCGACTTATATCCTTCATCTCTCTTGTTTCATCTTTTTTTTTTCATCACTCTAGTACGAACACAAGTGCAGTGTGCTTTGAAGCAACAATAATTTTTTGTACTGCACAAGTTGCAAGCCTACAATCTGATCTGCAGCGTGCAGTTTCGTCACCGATCGAACAGAATAAATCTGTGCACAAGCAGTGATTCGCTGGGGTGGCATACCCGCCTTAGCCCCTCGTGATTTGTTCATTGACGAATTAATTTTTGATTCCGTATTCGGCGCACGAGGCAAGTATTCCGTGTGAACACGTGGGCGTGATTGAGATAACGTCGAATTTCCGGCACGTTTCGCACCGGACGCCATCAACGCGACGAAGCAGGTTGATCGAGTAGGGGGCGTGACAACTTTAGGGCGAAGTGTAAATGCTGCCGCATACAGCACACGTTCTCGATTGTCCCTTATAACGTGACCTTGGCAGTGACAGCATGGAGTGCATGGTATCACGCAGAAAACGTGCGGGAAGGGTTTCTTTTTCCATCGCCCTGAAAAAAATTTACACGTGGCAGTAACGCAACCAGAAATTTAATAGGGGAGCGGAACTAGACCATAATTTATCTTATGTATCTTCGTGCTCCGTTGTATACACTTGCGCGCGTATGTATACACTTGCCAAATTCAAAAAGGACCGCCCCTCCCTCCCTTGACTACATTAGTGTCACGTGGCTTGCGAAACCAGGTGGGCACCTCCGCAGTTCGTGCTCAGCTTGACCGTCACTCGAGGTGCACATAAAGCGGTTTAGTGACAATAACATTTGAAACAGTGCATCTGGCGTTGCAGCACTTGAATGAGCCTTTAACATGACCTATGCGGCACCACGCACGTGTATTTCACATAACGCGCCAACTTGCACAAGTGCACGCGTATTATGAAAGAGGGTGAGAGAGACAACAGAAGAGGGCGAGGACATTGTCATGTGCCTAGTGTGTGAAATTGTGTTCGCGTGCCGCATGGCGTTTGCGTTTGGCACTACGGCCCGGCTCACCTGTGAAGTACGATTCCTTGGCGTGGCAGCGGTGCCTGAGCATGCTCCCGGTGCCCTTTTTGCTCGAGTAGGAGACGAAGTTCTTGCAGTGCACGCATCGCGCGAAGTCTCGCAGTTCGCCGTCGAGCACCACCAGCTCGAAGTCCTTCCACGAGGCGCTCTTGGCGTTGAATTTTGTCATGAAGTGGAAACGGTGCGGCTGTCGCCGGTGCAGTTCGTAGAGAATGTCCTTCGTGAAGGTGCCGTGAAATGGCGCCACCGCATCTTCGCCGGAGGACATGTTGTCGTCGCCGCCGCCGCCGCACCTCCTCCGCCGCCGCCACCGCTGAGCCGGGGAAAGGAAGCCCGATGCGCGTGAGTCAACATTCTCCACTCACGGCCCATGACGCATGCACGCACTCTCGACGCCGCACGCACACGCGATCGATTCCGCACGCGGCTCACGCCGGCGGCCGTGCAGCGCGCCGGCGACCTCCTCTCTCGAAACGCCTCCTCGCACAGCCCCGCCTCGACAGCTTGCGAGAATCCGGCAGTCACCGAAGCCACTCCAACCTTCCTCGATGCGAAGAAGCCTGTCGACGCCGGAGGACGCAACGATCGCTTGCGCGCACAAATTGCGATAACGTGGAAACTGCAGTAATATTTAGCGTTAGGGAAAAGCGGGCGCTTGGAATTGACTTGAAAGGCAAAATAGTGGTGTTGGGGCTAGAAGCGGTGCGCGTGTCGCATTTCGTGCTTGATTTGTACACAAGTTAGACAAGAATGTCCAGCGACCACTATTCAAGGTTGATGGAGGAAACTTTCTCGAGGTCAGCCCGTAGTACCGTTTTTGGTGTGAAGTGGTAGAACAAACATATTATAATGACTCTCTCCGACATCAGTATGACTGACGTATCGTGATTGCAGGTGTTTGGGAATGTCGTGTATGTGCATGCAACTATTACTATACCGTAAAAACTGGGCCAGGAGCAGATTTAGTTGCAGCGCTGAAAGCAGCTCGCATTGCAAATACTCTGAGTAAGAACGTAACTTGGTAAAAATGATGCGAGGCTAAGAAATGTCATGATTACACCTGTTATGCCACACATACTTTCACGCTTATGTACAGTTCAGTATTCCCAAATATTAGAATATTACCCTATCGAATAGTATCGATGCACCAGTAATCGACACTCAGAATCTACTCCGTGAGCCTAACTGAGAAAGTATGCTAGATTTAATAGGGAAATAGGTTTCGCAAAAGTCCGCAAGGAGGAGAAATGATTCATGGTTAGGAAAGTTATCACAGATTCGGTTGGAACACTAAGTAAAGAGGAGGAGGTCCAATGAACTTTGCAAAGATGAAGTATTTCATTCGGGACTAAAATTTGTACCGGGCAAGCATTAGAACCAGGATCAACATCTCGCCTGCGTGGTACTCCACCGTCCGAGCTTAACATAAGGCTAGCTAATCACTACTTCCCTCGGGATCTCTGCAACACGCTCGAAAGTTCGCAAGCGAACTTCCGAGCGCGTTGCAAAAAAAACCAACTACATTTCTGCGTGCGCAGATGCGCTTCACGCGTGGCGACTCTAACATCGTTCGCGCGCTTAACGCCGCCTAATGGAGGTCTGGCGCAACGCGCCAGCTGGCGCGACGCACGCTCTAGATGCACTAAATAGTCGCTCTAATCGAGCATCCTCCTCCGGGCGTTCTCTTGCTGCTGTTGCTCCTGACCGCTCGGGTTTTGGGTTTGGTTGAGCGAGAAGTAGGTGAGGGGGAGTCGGGCGCGCCGGCTGGTTACAGCAGGAGCGGCGAGAAAGGCGCAAAAGATGCGCTGTTCTGCGCGCGCCGGATGTCCCCGCGCCCAGCCAGCAGCGGCGTGGAGGCAGCGACAACGCAGGGGGTCAAAGCACTTGACTGGCCAGCTCAGCGACCCTGGACGAGTTGCGAGCGCGTGCCGTCGCCCGCGCGAGCGAGGACGTGCACGCTCGGTAACGCGACGTACTGGCAAAAGAGCAACCGCAGCCTTGCATATGCTCAGTGGGAAAGCGGGCCTCGAAGCGAGGAGGAATGTGGACTTTTCGGAACGGGTGGTCGGAGCTCTTGAGCGAGAAGTCCGCGAGCGTAAATCCTTTGGACGTTTCGTGATGGCGGCGACCGGCTCTCCGAGGAGGCTTTTGAATGTATTCACGCGCACCGGTTGTCATGCGTGTCTAGCGAGAAAGGGAATGAACTTGCTGAAATGCCGAACATCGTTTCATATTCACTTTGGTGGAGTGCGGAACTGCATGGCGGGATGAGTTGGTTTTCAGCTCCTCTCTCGTAAAAACTGAAACCACCCAGATTTTCTTTTCTTTAAGTGATGGAGTTGAGGCATCCCAGATGATCGAGTGGTACACGTTCTCATGACGGTGTTCTTGTTGAAGTGTTCTATTTTTCTCACCGTGCGCCGACCTATAACACCACACAACGTCAGGTGTAGCGACCAACCGAACAAGGAGGTTTAAAAAAATCGCAGTATATCCACGGAGGGAATGATGATTGGTGGGGCGAAGTTTCGAAGGGTTTTATCGGCGAACCGTGAATCATCCGCTGGCTGCGTTCGTTCGTCTGTCCGTCTGTCTGTCCATCCATTCAATTATCTGTCTGTCCGTTCGTTCTTCTGTTCTTCCGTCTGTCTGTCTGTCTGTCTGTCTGTCTGTCTGTCTGTCTGTCTGTCTGTCTGTCTGTCTGTCTGTCTGTCTGTCTGTCTGTCCCTCTGTTTGTCCCTCTGTTTGTCCCTCCGTACGTCCATCTAGTGAAGACTGCAAGTACCGCCATCTCGAATCTTCTTATCTTATACAAGTACCACCATCCAGCGGACATTCCAAGGACTGAAACGAGAGGTGGCTATTACGTACAGGAGGCGCACGAGCCACCCCGAGAATTGCTGGAGTGGAAGCTCCCGCAATACTTTTCCAGTAATTGTGAAGTTAGCCTTTTGCCCTCCGAAGATCTCAGAAACATGCTATTTTCTGGCGCTACCCACTTAGACACCAAGTAGCTTTGATCTGTTAGTCTAAAAGCTACTATAATTATAAATAAAAATAGAGTTGTTTCCGATGAAATAGCCTGCAAAGATGAGTATCGGTGACTTACTGTGTAATAAGATCTCCCTTGAATTCTAGTCTTACTAAAGAAAACTAGTTACACAAGGACGAACTTGGAACACTATCCGACCTGAAAAAGTTGCCACTTTAAACTCGTTGGGCGTGCGAACGAAACTCTCTCTCTCATTCGGCGAATGTCAATAGCTCATCATGCCTCTAGTAAGATGGCTGCCGCATCCGCCATCTCATGGTGGGTACGGTTTCACTCATCGGCAACAATTTTCCACTCAAACAATTTTTATAAACCTCCTTGTGACCACTCAATGACCTAAGTGGACTTACATAATTTAACTCAGATGATTCGTCCTTGAATGGTTACGAGAACTGTTCATAAAGCCCAAATTTCTTCAGTTGCTGCATAGACACTAAGTAATCTTTCTCTCTCTTTCTTTCTTTCTTTTTTTTTTTGCAGAAGTCTTAACATGCGAGCGAAACGTAGGAAAACATATTCTCGTTGGAACTTATAAACGAAAACTTCATTTGGAGTAGTCATCGATTTGTTTAAATATTGTCTGAAACGTGTTTTAGGAAAAAGAAGCACTTATTAAGGTTTAGTCTAAGCCCCATGCACATCCGTGCGTCATACAGTGAAATTTATATGTCAATGCGAAATTAATGTGCCCAGGCAGATTGTCCCTAGCGCGCAGGTACGTGCCACGAAAATTGGACAATCCCACAACTACTCCGCTAAAGCTGAAGCAATGTCCTCGGGCGCAAACCTGCACGATACGGCAATTCTTCAAACACCCCACTCGTCCACTAATGTGTGGCGAAACGCAGCAAGTAGTATGGAATTCTCGTTGAATGCCGTGCGAACCAAATCGAATAGCAATCTATTCGGATTGCATATACAAATGTTCGTAGACTCTCAATCACTATATTAAATCCGGAATAATGAAATTCACTGGCTCGAAGCTGCAGACCAAACTCACGGCATGATCAGCAGAAACGTACGACAGGAAGAAAAAAATATCGCTGCTTAAGCGCGAAAGGAGTGGGCCCGGTGTTTATCACCGGGCTTATACCACATATAGCCATTTCACTCCGCCAAAGCGGATGATCGACAAAGCAGTGAAGCACATGGCACAGAAGTGATCACAAATTTCTACAGCCCCAGCATGGTGGTCTAGTGGCTAAGGTACTCGGCTGCTGACCCGCAGGTCATGGGATCGAATCCCGGCTTCGGCGGCTGCATTTCCGATGGAGGCGGAAATGTTGTTGGCCCGTGTATACTCAGATTTTGGTGCACGTTAAAGAACCCCAGGTGGCCGAAATTTCAGGAGCCCTCCACTACGGTGTCTCTCATAACCATATGGTGGTTTTGGGACGTTAAACCCCGCAAATATATCAATCAATCAGCAAATTTCTACCAACGGTGTGGCGTGAACGTTTGGGCCATTTGGTACTCCGCTGCGATGCCCGGTGCCTTATCCTGTGCCTGGATAGCCGAGTCGTTACAACGCTCGTATTGGGCTCTCGGGTGCGTGCGTGGTCTCGAATCCCGCCTCGCCAAGAGATTTCTTTCGCCGAAAGAATTATCTATCTCTTTGTTTCTCTTTGTTTCTCTCTGTCTCGTGTTATTGCTTCTCACGCTGAACAAGTCGGCGCGTGTGTTTCAGGAGCGAAACGGAAGATGAGGAGGACGAGTGGCTTCGTGATCGTATTGTCGTCTTCCGTTCCCTCTACTCGGACTCATTGTCGGCTTGAAGGGCTCCGTTGTTAAAATAACAGAAAGAACTTGATCTGGAGCCTACGTAAGAGCCTTAGGGCGACACTATGTAATAAATAAATAAATAAATAAATAAATAAATAAATAAATAAATAAATAAATAAATAAATAAATAAATAAATGAAACAGGTGATCTGAGGAATTTTGTATGATTGTTATGAAAGCCACTTGGGTATCGCACGACGTGTTCTTCTTATTATCCACTTCAGGTTCTCTTTTTTTTTTTTTAAGAATGTAAAATGCCACGACAGTAGTTCCTCGTGTAAGCTCTGCCTTACCAGAGCTCACTACACAGCATAACCAATCTTTAAGCAATTAGTCAATTCCTAATGTATGAACCGAAGTGGCGTTAAGTAAAAGCAACGATCGATTTGATTGATATGTGGGGTTTAACGTCCCAAAACCACTATATGATTATGAGAGACGCCGTAGTGGAGGGCTCCGGAAATTTTGACCACCTGGGGTTCTTTAACGTGCACCCAAATCTGAGCACACGGGCCTACAACATTTCCGCCTCCATCGGAAATGCAGCCGCCGCTGCCGGGATTCGAACCCGCGCCCTGCGGGTCGGCAGCCGAGTACCTTAGCCACTAGACCACCGCGGCGGGGCTAAAGGCAACGATCACAAACATGGTTAAATATATGGATTTTCACTGTCTGTCTTGGTTGACTTCTTTCATTTTATTATCATACGTGGAAAACATTTTTTTTTTTTCAGTTTCGTTCGAGGTATCCATCGCCATATCCAGCATCAATCCATCGAGTCCTGCCAGCACTGTTCGCCAGGGCTCGCCGCCATGATATGTGACCGGAAAGAGGCAAGCTGCGCGCTCAGACCATCATCCTGTTGCGTAGCAATTGGATGAGCGCCTTCTCGAGTAGGGCCACCCTGTCGAACCTGGCCTGGGGCGGGAAAGGGCCCAGCGCTTCGTCATCGGATGTCTTGCGTAGCATCTGCATCACGTCGGGAGAGATGGCGCCGCCAGGAGCGCTGCCATCGTCCGAGCGTTTCCCGTGACCTACACAGAGGATCAAAACACACAGAGGATCCTCTGTGTAGGTCCCGTGACCTACACAGAGGATCAAAAGCAGGCCGCACGCGTCTACGTTTCGAATTGTTATTGCCAGAACTGATATTATGTTATTACTATTAGTAGTAGCAGTATTAACACTAGTCGAATTTTACCTGTACTATGGTAACAATACCGATTTGTCTTTGTGCAAGTTGTAAGCCGGCGCGGAATACAAAGTCAAGGAGATTAAAAGAAAAGTGCATTTCGTCAGAAATTCATATCAGGTTTATTAAATGTTTAAGAGAAAAGCTTAACAATGCGGAAGGCACAACAAACATATAAGTGGCTCTGGCACATAAATTTGGTGGGCCATGCGCAGTATTACGTCACGAACAAGTGATTCATGGCCGGCAAAGACAAAGAATCTTAGTTGCGGGAAGTACAAAGTCGACGAGTAGGGGATAGAGAGGTGACTCTACCTCTCTATTTTCAGCTTTGCAGTAAAGGCGCATGCCAAAAATGACACGTAAAACTAGGCATTTTAACGGTGTATTTTACTAACTCCAGAAATTTTAATATAAATCTCATCTTAATGTAAAATATTAGCCAACTTTTTACGCCTATTTCTAAAATGTTTTCGCCCACACTCGTGGGTAGTCATTTATCTTAGCTTTGTTATTGGGATAGTTCACCTATATTCTTCTTGTACCCTAATTCTATCCTTGTTTGTATCTTAGAAAAGTTCGCTTTAACGCAGTATACGTAAACTGAATGGATTCCCACTGTTATACAGTTGGCTACGGATTCAAATGTTCTTATGAACTTTCGTATTAGTATCAAGATGACAATGATGGACATTTTTTCTCTTTTTTTCATAAGCCACGAAGACAATTTAAATGCATTCTGGAAGCATTCTATAACCATTGCAACTTCTAAAGAGCGTAAGCGTGAAATACAAATGCATCTGAGTGTTGCTGAAACACCTCGCACGTGCTATTAGCTTTACCCTTGAAGAGGTCGCTTATATGTTCAATGAAAAAAAAAAAAAGCAGAACGACGAGCGGCACTACTTACCTCCAAGGCATGAGTGACCGTACAGCTTGCAGCTGTCTGCAGAGAGAGAGAGAGAGAAGATGCAAATTATTTCTTTTGAAATTCGAGCCCCCACGCCAGCAGCGACGTTAGGCACGTCGCTGCCGGTGGCCAAGGCCAAGAGTGCGTGACAAGTTCGTGCATTTCAAGATGCCGTGCACGGAGGACCTAATTAACGAAGCGCGCTGGATTTCCTCGAGAAAACCGCGCACTTATACGCGAAGTGAAACAGGACACGGCAATGTGCAGACGAGCTTGTCCTCTGTTGCCTGTAAAATTTCAAAGGAGACACTCAGATTCATTGCGAGCACGTCAATAATGCAGAAACAGCGAGTTTATTAATCACTGTGAGGTCTAGCACAAAGCCGCGAGGACAATCACAAGTAATTACGCACAAATGTGACTTTGCAAAGTTCATCACTTCGCGCTGTATACGAGTATCGGTCTCTGATATCAGCTTCAAAGTTTGTGAGTAGCATTTCGCTTAAACGCTAAAATCTGTCAAATGATATGATAACTATGAAATTTATGCGATTATTATTGCGTCATGCAAATGTACCCATAGGAAATCTATGTAAATTATTTTAAAATAATTCTTAGAACAAGTGGTGAATTCTAAGAGCAATATTTCAGAAACGTCGTTGTAGCCGTTATTCAGAATGCGTTCTTGGTCCTGTTGCGCCTTTGGGTAGCGTGGTGCGGACTCGGGCCATCCGAGTCCCCGGAGAGGACGAGTAGAGAAGCCGGAGAAGGAGAAAAAAATGTTTATATACAGTATTTACATGGTAGCGTGGTACAACATGAAAAGAGAATCACACACGAGCGCCTCTGCGCTAGCGTTTTTATACATCGTCCGCCTTCCCAAGATCCCTTGCAAAGAAAATTTATGCGCAGGATACTCCAATGAGATCGTCGTCGTCCTCTCCGTCCCCGAAAAGGGAAAGCCAAACACCGCCTCCCTCTGAACCTAGGAAAGGGGCAAGACATGCCCAGTTCGCTGTTTGGTGAGGGAGACCCCACGCGCCAGCGTGGCACCACAGCGAGATGACGTGGAATCCCATGCGCAAAGTCGCTCCCTGATGCAGCCAGGTTGACTCAAGCAAGGCAGAATACCCCGTACAGCTGCTGGGTCGACGCTGCTTCGGAGTGTTGCTCTCGGCGGCTGACAAAAGCTTGGCCAACGACTTTTGTGTCAAGAGGAGCCGGCGACGTGGTTTTTCCAGATTGTCCGCGTCCGTCGCCGTCCCGGTGCAGGGTTGACTCATCAACAGCTGCCAGGTGCCAGCAGGCCGCGAAGACCACGTGGAACTTGGGCGAGGCACAACAGCACCCCCGCCGCCAGATGATACATCGGGAGGTCGAGTTGTTCCATGCAGCTCGGCCGGGTCGATGTCGGCGACGTTCCGGCAAGGCTCTTGCTTTCTCGAAGGGCCTGGTCAAACTGGAATGCTCCAAGAGCTGGCCTCTGCGCCCCGCTTCGGTGAAAAGTGGGTGATAAGCTCCAAGAAATGACCTTTGTCAGCCACACACAATGCGACAAGCACCGCGTGCACGCCACTCTCATCGCCAGGCCTCCGATTTTACAAAGCAAACATCTTATCTTAATAACTTAAGCTCAAGGAAACAATGTGCATACCAATCGGGACACGTGTCCAGTAACTCTTTCATACGTAACTCCATTTGGAATCGAGATAACATTATAATCAAGCTAAACAAGCAAACTGTAGAGCTCGGGACAACGAGGGAGTCAGTGAAAAATTTCTCTACGCCCTCACTGTAACACATTGAAAAAAAAGTACACATAAACTAGGTAAAGGTAAACAACAAAAATCAAACAAACCTTCCGCGTCTTTTGACGAGTCAAAACGCTCGACTTAGGGCGTCTGCATTTGTATGAAGGCCACCTCTCTTGTAGCGCACCTCGAAATTGTGCTGCTGCAGTGCTATGCTCCATCTGAGCAAACGACCATTCTTAGGTGACATTTGGTGTAACCAGGTTAGTGGAGAGTGATCAGTTTCTATAATAAACTTAGAGCCAGCAACATAGCAGCCTAGTTTTCGTACGGCCCAAACAATGCAAGCACATTCTTTTTCCGAAGTGCTATAAGCCTCTTCCCTGCTGCTCAATTTGCGACTCAAATACAAAACCGGCCGCTCCTCTCCACTCTGGTCCGTCTGACATAGCACTGCTCCTAAACCGCGTTCGCTTGCATCACACTGAATAGTGAAAGGTTTTGCAAAATCCGGTGCCCTCAAGACGGGTTTCTCACTCAATGCGTGCTTCAGCTTCTGAAAAGCGTCTTCCTTTTTAGAGTCCCATTGAATGTTCACAGGTTCGGTCTTGCGTAAACTATCTGTCAAAGGGCTGGCAATCTCGGAGTAATTCGGGACGTAATGCTGATAGTAACCTGTGAGGCCGAGGAATGCTCTCATCTCGGTCTTAGTGCTGGGACGACGATAACCGACCACCGCGGCTACCTTGAGTTCGGACGGTCGACGACGCCCATTTCCTACAATGTGCCCTAAATAGCTTACTTCAGCACAGCCCAAATGACATTTCTCTCTCTTTACCGTAAGACCTGCATTTTTGACCCGTTCCAAAACCATCCGAAGGTGTTCAACATGGTCTTCCCATTTGTCCGAAAATATCGCCACATCGTCTAGGTAAGGCAGCGCAAATTTCTCGAGCCCGTGGAGAACCTTATCCATCAGGCGGCTGAAACAATACGGCGCGTTCTTGAGCCCAAAGCTCATCATCAAAGGACGAAAAGTGCCCAGGGGTGAGATAAAAGCAGCGTATCGACTCGCGCGCTCTGTCAAAGGGACCTGCCAATACCCCCTAACAAGGTCTAACGTAGAAATGTATTTCGCCTTAGACACTGTCTCTACCCTCTCTTCAATGTTAGGAATAGGGTAAGTCTGGTCGACTGTTACAGAGTTCAGGCGGCGATAGTCCACGCATGGCCTTGGATCACGGCCCGGAATCTCAACCAAAATCAAAGGCGAGGTGAAATCACTGTCTGCTTCGATGATAACACCTGGGTCGATCATGCGGCGAATTTCGGCCTCTAGTATCTCTCTCTGTCTAGGTGACACCCGATACGGCTTACAGCTGATCGGCTTGTTAACCGTCAGCTCAATGTCGTGCTTAATCACATCCGTTTTGCCTGGCTTCTCGGAGAAAACGGTAGCGAATTCCTGTACTAAAAGCTCTAAATCTTCCTCTTGAGCCTTACTTAGGGTGTTCCCTGTGTCTACCCTATCGGACAATGTGCTGCTGACCGTGCCATCGGAAAGACAAAGGATTTCCGCGCCCTCATCCTCAGGAACATTGAGTGCAAGGTTTACTACTGCTTTTCGTCGCATGTAGGGTTTCATTAGGTTACTGTGATACACTTTGGGGCATTTCCGGCCCCACTTTACCTCGTAGTTGGTGTCTGAAAGCACTGACAACACTGTCGCTGGTCCCTCCCATTGTACGTCCAGCTTGTTTTTTCTTGAAGGGCACAACAGCATCACCTCATCGCCCACTCTAAAGACTCGCTTTCGAGCTGACTTATCGTAACGGGCCTTGGAAAGCGCCTGTGCTGCGCGCATGTTGCTCTCCACCACTTCGCGTGTAGTCCCCAGTCGCCCCAATAAATCCAGTACATAGGAAACCACATTAGGGTCCTCCCCATATCCAGTCCATGACTCTCGTATTAAGTGCAGCGGACCTCTCAAGTTCCTGCCGTAGACAAGTTCAGCCGGACTAAAACCCGTACTCTCGTGTGGGGCCGACCTCAGAGAAAACATCGCAGCTGGTATACACCCCTCCCAGTCACTTTTATGCTCAAAGCACAAAGCTCGCAAAACGCGTTTCATGACCGAGTGCATGCGTTCCACAGGGTTCGACTGTGGATGGTGAATAGAGCTATGCGCGATTTTTATCCCGCAGCGTTCTAGGAATGTAGTCGTAAGGCAGCTTGTGAACACACTTCCGTTGTCACACTGTATCTCCGAGGGAAAACCCACCCGAGAAAAAATAGACAACAATGCGTCCACCACGCATACTGAACTCAACTCTTTCAGTGCGATTGCCTCCGGGAACTTGGTGGCAACGCACAGCGCGGTCAGGACGTACCGATATCCTGATTTAGATGGAGGCAGAGGCCCCACGATGTCAATCACGAGCCGACGGAAGGGTTCTGTGACTATTGGCACTAGTTTCATTGGTGCCTTCCATTTGTCTGTTGATTTTCCTATCCGCTGACAAGTGTCGCATCCACGGACAAACATCTCTACATCCTTCCAGCACCCGGGCCAGTAGAACTCCTGAGCCAGCTTAGCTTTCGTTTTCTTTATACCTAAGTGGCCCGCCCAGGCGTTGCTGTGGGCCAGGTCGAGAATGTTCCGCCGGTATTTTAGTGGAACTACCACTTGGTTGTAGACCCGCCCTTTAGCGTTCTCATACCTGCGATGCAACACCTCGTTTTGGGTGTAGAACGAAACGTTCTTCCTAGAGTTACCTTCCTTATGTATGGCATCTAGCAGCATAGAGAGTGCGAGATCCGCCTTTTGATCGACCACTAGCGTTGCACGGTCGGTTCTGGCTAGCTGACACCAACTGGTGGACGCGGGTGTTAACACCGAGCCTGTCACCAAGTCCTCGTTTTCGGGCGTTAGAGATATTTCCTCGCTGTTGTCGACCATAGCCCCAGTTTCCGTCTCGACAACTCGCATGGCAGACTCATTTTCCGTCGCAACTACCTCAGGTTTTCCTACACTGCCCTCGGACGTCTGTTCCCCAGAGGGTGAGCTGCTCAGCTGTTGCGTCAGCTCGCGCGCCTTCGAACGGGTAAGGGCCATGCAAGCTATTTCGGTGGCAAATGATTCTCCACGTGTTTTTAACATTTCCTCAGACTTATTTGAAAATAGGTAAGGGAAGTGCTCCGGAAGGTTGGCTGAAATTGCTGCTTCCGTACACAATTGGCCGAAAGGGCCCTCGATTACAACCCTCGCTATCGGTAGGCAGACGC